CGGGGCTTCGCGGGCGGGGGAGGGGAGAGGCTCACGTGGTGGGCGGGGCTTGGCGCGGGTCCACCTCCGAGCCCCCACACCTCAGGGAAAAGTGTATGTTTCACGGCCCAGAACGATGTTAGGAGTCGTTATTTGTTGGTGTCCTTTTTTTCTTTTGTGAGCCAAAGATTTATTTCTTCGTTTCTTTTTTTTTTATTATTATTTTTATATATTTTTCTTTTTTTAAGACGAGGTTTTACCATGTTGGTCAGGCTGGTCTTGAACTCCCAACCTCAGGTGATCCACCCGCCTTGGCCTCCAAAGTGCTTGGATTGCAGGCGTGAGCCACCACGCCCGGCCTATTTCTTCATTTCTTGCATATGAAGTACACTTCCACGACATCCTTGGCCTGAGACTCCTTGCCATAGTCCTGCAAGCAACCACTTCACGGGGTTTCCCCTCTGTCCGTTTCACAGAGGCCTGCCCAGTGTCCTCGTTTCTTGCGGTCAAACCTTAATTAGGTTGATTTGGTGTTCAGCACAAAGGGCCTCCACCAGCCTGACATCCACAGGCTCTTCAGAGTTGGGCTTGGCGCCTGTCTAAGGCTTTGGCCGCTCCGGGAGCTCCACGTGTTGGCCATCGTGGATGGGGGCAGTTTAGCACTTCTTGTAAAGCAGCGTTAACGTCCACTGCACCTCCAGCAGCACTGCCTTCCTCCGCCACGTTGGTGGTCTACGGGTGAAGCCCAGTCTTGAACGCACCCAAGTCTCCGCCTCCGAAGGACTGGGTGGCATGGTGCTCTTTACCAAGTTGAGGAAGTTCCCTCTTGTCCTATTTTCTCAAGAGTTCTCATGAGAGGGTGCGAAATTTTCTGCAACGCTTTTCTGCATCTATTCAAATGATCCTGTAGAGGGAATTACATTGCTTTGCTCTCCTGGGAAAACTCGGTCACGATTCGTTCTCCTTTTCGTGCACCGCCCGACTCAGCATCTGAGGTTTTGTGCAGGGTTGGGGATGGTGCTGGTGAAGCAGATTGCTCCGTGGCCGACCTCCCGTTTTCTGTGTCTGGCTGGTTTGGGGTTGGTTTAAGCTGGGCCTGCAGTGACCTGGGAGTAGGATGGTGTAACTTATTAACTGAAATTGTGGTAGTATTCACCCGGGAACCTATCTGGGCTTCAAGTTTTCTTTGTGGGAAGGTTTTTAATGAGAAATTCACTTCTGCATCAGCTAGAGGCTATTCAAGTTATCAAGGTAATGTTGAGTAACTTTGGTAATTTCTGTCTTTTAAGGAATTTGTCCAATTATTGGATGTGAGATTATTGACATAAAGTTGTTCAGAATATTTCCTTGTTATCCTTTTAATGTCTGTGTGGTCCGTAATGATGAGCCATCCTTCATTCTTGGCATAGGCAATTTATCTCATCGCTCTCGTTTTCGTTGAGCAGCCTATATTTATCAATTTTATTTATCTTTTTTAAAAAAATCACCTCTTGATTTCATTGATTTTTCTCTATTTAAAAAATATATTTACACTTTGCGAGGCCAAGGTGGGCGGATCATGTGAGGTCAGGAGTTTGAGACCAGCTTGGCCAACATGGCGAAATCCCATCTCTACTAAAAATACAAAAATTAGTTGAGTGTGGTGGCATGCTCCTGTAATTCCAGCTACTCAGGAGCCTGAGGCAGGAGAATCACTTGAACTGGAGAGGCAGAGGGTATAGTGAGCCCAGATCGCACCATTGCACTCCAGCCTGGGGGCGGGGGGAATATATATATGTATCTTTACTATTCCAATGTTTCTTTCTTTTTTTTTTTT